ACTCAAATTAAGTAGCACAAATTTCCTTATAGGAAAAATGATTAATTATTCTAGTGGCTGCAAACATTAAATTGACAATATTTCGAAAATTAAACACTTTTGGATAACTATAGTTTGCCAGATATCGATCGCAGCGGTTACCGGGGAGACACCCTGTATTGCGCTCGCAGTACAGGTTTACAAGATTTACTATAGATTACTAGACAATTAGAACTACACGTATCATGTACTTTAACACCTTGGATATTATTTTATTTAAATAGTTCGTTGTATTTATTAAACATTTTCCTTTATACATATTTGCACAAGTAGTAGCATCTCTTGCGAATTACAGTATACATAGGAAAATATTACCCACCCTTCGCTTTTTACTTAAACATAAAGAAATTGTATTCGTGATCAATTACGTCTATTTTATTAACTGTACTTAATTTGACTTAGAAATTCATTGAATAATGAATACATTTCCATACGTTTTTTTTTAATTAAATGTCGGCATAAAACTTATGTGAATTTTATTATTAGGAAAGTTTTGGTACAAAACGCCGACTAATCAGAAACCAATGACTTAAACACAAGAAAATAATTGTAATGACTTGAGCTAACAAATATTATCACAGTTGAGCAAAAATTGCCAATAAAACAGTGAATAACTCTGTTTGACCTACAAATTATAAAACCCTGCTGTTACCTAAGAGTTTAGCATGCAATTGGACGCAACTAATTAGCTTACAACAAATTATTTAGTTTATAATATAACAAGTGCTTAAAGTTACTAGACATTTTTTAAGATGCAACACTGTTGATGATTGCAATCAAATAGATGAGCGACTACAACGAATATAAATGAGCAAACCTGCGAACCGTGAATTACATTATTGTTATATGAAACATGTTTTATTTGCATTCCTATCCAAACCGGTTTAGATGTTAAATTAAATTGAATAGGTCTTTCTCGCACGTAAGTAGCATTTTCAAGTTATTTTTGAAATTGTCATTATCAGACTTGTGCAACGGCTTATTAATGTAGGGTTTCCCAAACTTTCCAAATTCAAAAATTTTAACGGAACGCTTACTTCAATTTAACACCTAAATAAAATGGTCACCACATTTTTCAAGAGCCCACATCAGAGCGTATGAAATGTCAAGAAAATGTTCAGGTGCCGCGGATAAAGTCCAACAGTTTGGGAACCTTGTATTAATGCGTAAGATTTCACAGATTCAGCCCATGTATGTTCAATTTAATCAGATTAAATTGCCCTTTGAAGACATAATTTACAAAACTTTTCTTGATCTCTCAAGTTGATTCACACCTATAATCCCTTTGCATCTGGTAAAATATTTAAATTACTTATAGTGTGCCGCAACCAATATGTTGTAAAAAAGTAAAAATGTAGCCACTAGTCAAGGAGCTCTATACTGCCAAACTAGAGTTGAAATAATTTTCAATAATTACTTTATATGAAAATAATTAAAAGTCCACTAAGAAATTCTTGTCGCGTTATTAAATATATCATTCCTAAAAATTTTCCATAACTATTTACAACTGCGCGTTTAAATTAACTAATTTGTAATATAACTCATCAGACCATCGAAATATAATAACTTTGAATTATCATAAGCAGTCTTCCCTACAGATATTCAGTACTGTGACATTATAAGAAATTTATTACATATGTCATCTTAGTCTCTTACGGATGCTAGCAGCGCTACAATTTGAAAAATTCGAAACACACGGATTTAAATATAAGTACGTTATTCAATTTGTACTACAAAAAAGCAGGAACTAGTTCTATTTTTTTATACCACAAACGCACTCAACAATTAAGCACCTGCCACCTGCTTACCTAAATCCTAATTCAAAACTCTTCCAAATTAGCTGTACAAATCACCATGATTTCGCACCCATCAATCTAAGCACTTCTTCGTACGTCAGCCAAAAACTAAGCGACCAAGGCGCCATTCGCATCCAAATCGGAACGAAACCTTTATATAAAGCTTCCAAGCCTTCAGTGTGAACTGTTTTTTTCAGGCAGTCGATCGAAGACGAATATAAAAGGCCTCTATAAAATTAAAACAAATTGTTTAGTTCATTGAAATCAACCATATTATAAGCGTTTACAGTACCTGCCCCGGTCATCTAGCGGCTGATTCATTACTCTAGTCTTAATTACATCGGCTGGGGTGCCCATTGAAGCAGCAACAAATCCAGCGCAACACGAAGCCATAACATGAACCAAATGGTTGTCTGGTAGTGTGGTATGTCTTAGGATAAACCTCTTGGCAAAATCATATGTAGTTAGATCGCCAAGGTTGACCAAAGCTGCTCGCTGCACATTAGGAACAGAGCCTAAGAACATGTAAATTCTGGTAATCACATCATAGGCTTAGATATTGAGTGCTCGTTCTACCTTTCCAAAGTCCTCGAACACCGCCGGTCATCCAAACTTTGTTGAATGCATCAAAAATTCCATTCACTCTAGGTGGAAAACCCATTAGTCGTCTTCTACCTTCCATTTGCAATTGAACTTTAACCAGATCCGCTGGACTCGCTATGTATTGTGCTAAAGCACCAGCACTAACTCCACCTACCAACAAATTTTTCTAAAATTTTTGTGGAAACAACAATAGCAAAACATTAGCTGTATAACGCGGTTTAATACTTACACAATGCGGATTTCCATAACGGAAAATACTCATCGGTGGAGGATTGCTTGAATACTTTTTCCTTTAGAGCTTTGTATGTCATGATTCTAGTTCCAGAATAGACCATATGGCGTGCGAAAGCAGCATGAACTCCTTGCCAAAGTCTATGAACACCTTCCTCTCGGGTTATACCCAAAGCGGTCGCCATCATGCCTCTATAAGGAACCTAAAAAATAAATCACTTTTTAAAATATGTCTAGATTATTGATGGAAAAAAACATTATTGGAAACAATTTATTTGACTAAAGGTTTAAACGATTTAATAAGAACGTATTAGAGAGTTATTGGAAATTATAAATACTGTAATGCAGTTTTTAGTTTTAGTTAATCCTTATTTTAATACTGCATTTGCGTTATTTCTCTAACGAAATTATAGTTAATGGAATATAATATAGCCTAGTTCACTGCTTTCAGTATCCACAGTACCCACAAATCACAGGGGTTAGTGATCTGTGGACTTAACCTGCAAACGGACGATAGAAATGTCAACTGCCAGTATACTGTATAAATAAAGCGTGCAGTATTGCTGCACAAATAGCACAGAACAGTGTCCTTATTACGGGGTCCTTTATTTTTACACTCAATTGCGCATGCGTATGTGTCAAAATACCACTAACTTTACTGCTTCATGTCCTTATTGAGCATCCAATTACTCTCTAATAATTCGGATGGTTTTAACTATTATTTGCTCAGTTTATCAGCGGCTTTCTAAAAAGTGTAATTTTGTTGTATTGTGACTTACCTTTCCGCCATTCTTGTTAAGTTCACCTTGTATTTGTAATCTAGTTTTAATGAGATCCAACGGATAAGTAACTGAAAGAAAAAAACGTATTAATAATTTAGAAAGACCTAAAGACCCGTGTGGGGTTGTCAGTCCCCCATCGGGCGCCTACCCAGGCAGCGGATAAGGGAAGATATGGTAGGAACCGGGGCGGACCAAAACTGACACTGGTTAATGGCAGCTGGTTGACCAGAACTAAATACAAGCAGAAATCACAATTATTGGAATGGTTGTATTCGGAAAGCATACGGCGCGGTAATAATCACAGAAACGTTGGACGTGCAGCTGCGTAGAAAACATCGGAAAACCACTACACAACAATTTATTTTTCCAAGAACAATCACCATGGCAAGCACGGAAATAAAAATGGCCCCAAGTCCACGGTGTTTCTTCAATAGGGTAAGGGTGCTAAGAATTCACGGGTGGAAAACGGAGAATAGTTTAAGAATAGGAACATGGAATGTCCGAACAATTTGTAGTGCGTGAAAACTGAAAGGTATCGGAAATGCAAAGAACAGATATACAAATACTGGGAGTATGTGAAACAGGATGGCCAGACGCAACCAATTTTGACTCAGACATCCACACAATTTACACATCCGGAATACGAGATGCATCCCAGAGAAACGGAGTCGCTATAATACTGAATAAGTCGCTGAGCAGATCTGTACGAAATTTTGTGCCCCTGTCAGAGTAATGCTAATTCAGTTGGCGACCAAACCTGTAAACGTGAACATCATTCCGGTTTACGCCCCCACTGTTACGCATGACAATGACGAGGTTGAAGAATTTTATTAACAAATGAGACATAATGGAGGCGACAAAAAACACGAAATTACTATAATTATGGGACTGGGAGTGGGCGAAGAAATACAGCAGATGCCATTGGAGGATAGATATGGCCTAGGCGCACGCAGCGAAAGAGGACAGCGACTTGTACAGTTCTGTCAGGAAGAAGAATTTTTAATTACGAGTACCTGGTATAATCTCTCGTACAGAAGACTGAATACATGGACTCCACAACACACGCATAATAACATTCTAAGAAATCAGATCGACTTCATCTTAATCAACCGGCGCTTCCGCAACTGTAACAAGTCAAGTGTATTCTGATCACAACCTACTCTGCTCAACACTAAATATAAGGCTTAAAAAGAGGAAACAACCAACAAAGATCTTACGAATACAACAACACATATTAAAGAAACCGGAATCCATAAAACTAACGCATGAAATAAACGATATTGTACACACAATCGCTCCACTATCCAATAAAAATAAAAGCGTGGAATGGAATTGGCGAGATATTAAAGTCTCGTTAAGAATTGAGAGAAGGTAGCAGCTACTAAAACCTAAAGCAAGGAAAGTGAAAAATGAGTGGGTGACACAAGACATCTCATGGAGGAAAGACGCAAATACAAGAACAACAATCATAACGAGTACACAGGGATACACCGTATAATTCGCAAAAAAATTAAAGAAGCGAAGGAAATATGGCTTCAGGAATCCAGTAAAGAAATCGAACATCTTCAGTCCATACACGACGATTTTAATTTACATATAATAATCGTTATTTCCTATAGAAAAAAGCTATCGACCCTTTAATTTACATAAAAAACTAAACAAACATTCCGGCATATACAGAAAAAAAAAACAAATCAGTCCTATCAGATGATCAAAGTACAAAGTGGCAACATTATATTCAACTAGGCCTAAGTAACATAGTAGATTTTCAGGTATTCATACAGCGACACCGATACTGCTTGCTATATTGATACAGCGACACAGCGCACCACACTTTTTATATATTGGGATAAAAACAGAAGACGCTGTGTTTCGTAATGTCTAGTGGGTCGTACGTTCAAGCTGAAGAGAGACTATGGCAGACGCCGGTTGCGTTGTTTTAATGAAAGGAATGAATGAAGTGGCATATGTTTCCTTCTTGTAAAGTCTATTTGTCTCACAAGTATCTCTGATTGGTTTTGAAGCTGCTGGGTCAGCCATAAATTATCACCGAATGACTTTTGTTCCTTTATGTATGCAAGGGACAACACCATTTAAGTTAGTTTTGGTCTTCTTTGCCGACTGACTTTTCATGCAATCTGGTAGTAATAAAAGGCAAAAATTAGCCCTTTTGCTTTCTTGAAACATCAAAAACCCAGATGTTGTACTGGTACCTTGCGACCAGTATCCTATGCGAGCCATATCGAACGGAGATAAATAAGAATTTATCAGATCAGTAGACAAGTATTTTGAGCACTTTTGTTCGAGCGGCTTTATAACGTAAAATAATCCCTGCCGAGAGGATCAGAAACCATATGGTAACTGCGCGTGGCCTTCACGAACTGCAATTCGAAGTCTGACATCTTGAATAGGATTAAGTGTTAACTGTTGTTCAAAGTGCCGCATCGAAAGAGACCAGGTGTCGCGGCACATGGACACACAGAGTGACATCAACACACAAGTGTATTTGAACACAGTATTACTCAGGCATAGCATAAATATTATACAGCAGCGTCACTCTCCAGAAATTCCAAGTTCGCGCAGGACATGCTGCGCATGGGGTACTTCACAATTTCAGCCTGCAGAGCTCATTCACTTGGCGTGTTGAATGTGCATTGCTGCCAGGATGGTATTCAGAGGAAACAGGCTGGTTTTTATTGTACCATATTTACGCACCCTTAACGTGAACTGCCGCCCCTTGGACATTAATTTTTGGTCCTATATGAATGTATGAAAATGAACACACAGCAAGCATTGCAAAATCAGCTTGTGTGAGCAATAAAATACTAATTGCAAGGATTAGATTTTCTGATCTGTCAGCAGCTGTATTTTGTTAGTAAATTAAGCTAGAAGTTTTATTACATTTTAAAGGCAGTTGTTTAATCCCGTTAAGACCGTCAGGTCAGTCAGCTGAAAACCACCAGTTTGGTGTCTAATTTTGTTGTTAACAGTCTAGCTTTATTATATTTAAATAACAAACTGTCGGTTATTGATCGTTAACTCGTGTGCTAATCAACTGGTACCATGTGCAAAAAAACAGATGTGTCTCTGTATTTCTTTACCACACCGCAAATAAAAAGTACAATCCTGTCCTGGCTTATTTCCTTCTATGCTTTGAAAACAGTTCAATCTGTGAACATCATATTTATTCAAGGTCAACGAAAACCCTGTAAAAAGTGCCGCCTCGAGATTGACGCTGCTGTATGATCTTTATGCTGTGACTCAGGCCTATATTCAACAACTGTTTGACAGGGAATCCCGCGAAGCACCAAAGAGTCTGTTAGCTGACTATAGTGCAGAGTTAGGAACGATACGATACTGAGAAAGTATCGATACTTACTCAAATGAGTAGTAACCGAATCATCTTGCGATACTACTCATATGAGTATTGTGAAAACATCGATACTTACTCAAATGAGTAGTAACCAAATCGTCTTGCAATACTGTTCATATTACCATATCCCATTACCTGCTCACAATTTTATTGACTGATTCGATATTGAGTGACTCCACGTGTAATCGTCGTAAACACATTTTAAGTATACATTTTCGATGAGTTTTTCAAGACCGAAATTAACTGTTACCGTGAATTTTAACTGTAAAAAAGTCGTTTAAATAAGGGATTGTAATAAAATTCATAGAATATATTTTAATACATTTACTGCCATAAGGTAAAAATTAATATTCCTTCTAAAGGCTTCCCAAAAAATCAGTTGCTGCAAATATTTAGAGGACAAGCTTTTTCTATTGTGCGTCATAGCAGCACCAGCTTTAGGAAATAGATATTCACTTATAAAAGTTAGGAAATACCGTTTACATGTCTCCCAACGGGTCACTTTTCAAAGATATTATTCAGTTCCATATTGTTTTGATATCGGCAATAAGTTTTAAAACTGACTAATCAGAACAATTTCACGAACCTTAGATATAGCTATTCACACACTATAAAGCATCTTCAACAATGTG